GATCAAATAACCCATTATAAATTTTCGATGGGCTGGTAGTCTATAATGTGATATATTTGATTTAAAATGAATTCAGGATTTTTTTGTAATTTGGCAACAATGTCCAACTGTGCAATGTGCAACTTAGACCACTGACTTAGATAATGACGTGTATTATAAGTTTAAGAAACTCCAGTAGTAAGTAGAAAAAAAGCGTTTAAACCGGGAATGCAACTAAAAATTTGGAAACAGTATTCATTTATCCGATAAATAAAAATATTGATTAATGTTTTGTATCAGTGATTTTGATTTCCGCTTTAAACATGGCACTTTATGTTTTTAATCTACGAATTTCATAATATTTTGACACTGACTTTGAAGTTGTTTTTGTACAGTAACTTCTTTCTGACTTTAGGTCTGTTGATCTCGCTATTTCCTTTTTTGTTATTTTCTTTGCATTTTTCAAAAGTTAATATCCAGTGACAGCTAGATACCGAGTCTTTTTGTGTTCAAGTGTAAAGCAGAAATAATAATCACTAATAGAATAATAATTAAGTTGTCTTAATGATCAAACTTGCTTTTATCGGTATAGTATATCGTATAAATTTTGTAGATTTATGTATACAGTTATGTATTTTTAATTAGTAAGTAAACAATTTTCTATGGCATTTAAGCGTACTCAAATCTATTAATTGTAGCAAAAAATTGAAATAATTTATTAAAAAATGATCGTGTATGCAATCCAGTTCAAAGTCGATCCATGAATGTTTCCACTTTCGGTTAAAACAGTAAATGTGCGGTATTTTAGGAGGCTCCGTTAGCAGAAACCAAACGCAGGCAATTTCAGCTCAAAGTGGCACAATATTATATGGTGGCGGTTTCTTAATACAAGTTTACATTTTCGCGAAATTTGCGCAGTAGATGCCATAAAGTTGTACTTATAAAAAATGCAGTAGAAAACTACTGTATATGTCTCAAGAAACGTAAAATTACATATCTATTTATATAACAGTGTCTGGCACATATTGAACCCAGCCGAGGCCCAACACACGCCGAGGCTACGGGCGATCCATGCATTTATTTTTCTAGCGCAGCTCATATTGAACCTCTTCGTGGGCTGTCGCCGTGGCCAGTTACTAAAATGACTTCAATTGATAAGCATTTCTTAATCAATTCACTGGACTCTGAATATGAACATGAAGACGTTATGATTATGTGTAATTTGATTAAAAATGCAAAAGGGGAAGAAAAGGAAGAAAAATCGGTATTTTAAAAAAGAGAAAGCTGTGGAGAGTTTAAGTTATCTAAAGAAGTTCCAGACAACGTTTTCGAGGAACCTTTTCGCCTCAATCGAAGCTAGTTCTCGGTAGTTTATGGCCCATGGTATAATCATTTCCTATTTTCTCCCATACTTCATCTTTCGATTTCGTCCTCATATAGTCCTCGAGGCTGGTATCATATACCAAGAGATGATCCCGAACCAGTTCAATCAGCTTTTCTTTGTCCATTTTGGAAACAAAAACAAGTAAAAGTAAACAACATGGAGTAGTGGCAGTGGAACAAGCATGCCACGACCTACGAAAACTGTATGCTGATGACAAACCTTTCCATGTGTGGCCAGCGTGTGCATGATCTGGTCGTAGAGTAGGTTCAATTTGCGGTACCTCGCTTCTAACCGTGCTTCACAAAACTGTCCACGCATTTCGCCGAAGTGTGCTGGACCTCACGCCAAAGAGTACACACAGAAATTGAGTCACACCAAGTTGGGAAGTAAAAAAGGTAGGACTTACTAGAAAAAAAAGGTTCGATGAGATAGAGAAGGTTCTAAAACAGAAAGACGCTTAAAACTGGAGAGTAAAGGTCGAAAACCAATGAGAATGGAAGGCAATTATCAAGCTATCGATCTAAAAGGCCTTTGTCAGTATTATATAATCTAATGAATTGGATTAAGTTAATAAAGTAATACATATGTAACACGTGTTATTTTATGACCTTATTATACGATAAACAGCAAGTTTATGTCATTAACACTTTAACCAACACATAATAATCTTGTTTTTACAATTCCTCCAAGGAAACAAACTATTTTTGCAACTATTCTGATAAAATACAACCAGTCATTGTCAGTACTTTATTAATTATAATATTGAGTTTTACTAATATAGTAATTAACTACCTATCTGAAAAGTATTTTGCTTGTTTGGTGAAGTAATATAATAAATACTTATTTCCATGTGCACGATTTCAAATGTTCAACATTTTGTATACATTTTAACCATAAATTATGTTGCAATTTCAATTCGTGAATCGATAAGCCTTCGCAATGGTGATCGCCAATGTCGGGTAAATCTGATATGGCACGCAAAGAAGAAGAAAGACTTGCATAAAATAAGGTTGGCCAAAACAAATAAATAATGTACATAAAGATTTAAAAGCATTTTTTAAGATTATAGATGAAATAACCTTTGATAGTTTGCTGATGAGGAATAGTCAAATTATAATTCCTCATGTAATGAGGAAAGAAATGTTAAAAAGAATTCACTATGGCCATCAAGGATTAAATTTTGCCAAGAATGGGAATTTAAAAGCATAAAATCAAGCCGAGAAAATCATAGACTTAATGGTCTAAGTAAAAGATATATTGAAACCTACAAAAAAAGCGCTAAGAAAATCTCATAATGATGGTAAAGATACATACTTAACATTGCTACAACTTAGAAATACACCAATTAATTCAAATTTACCATCACCATCTCAACTTTTAATGTCACAAGTACTTAAAACTCAGATTTCCACTACTGACAAAATTCGAAAACCAAAATTATGTAATGCTAAAATAGTGCAGAACATTCAAAAAGCTTATTTACAATTAGCACAATAGGTACAATAAATTTAAAACCGCTTAAAAATAATGAAAAAGGTTATATTAATGATAAAAGCAAATTGAGAGATGGTCTTATCACACATACATTAAGAGATAAAACCCATTTGAATAAATTAAAAGATTCTGGGTCAGAAATTGCAAGAAATAGACAATTTTTAGTTCGCAATCCTGCAACTTTTGATGATGAACATAGAGATAATGAATCTGAAACTAGTGAGTCACAAAATCTTGAAAGTGTCTCTGATAATCATTCTGATCATCACTCTCCAATAAACTTACCTCCACAAAGTAATTTCATTATAAAATAAAGGGGGTAAAGAATGTATAGAACAATTGAGGAAGTAATTTTATTATAAAATAAAGGGGGTAAAGGATGTATAGAACAATTAAGGAAATTCATAAATGTTTATTTAAAGATTTGTTAAAGAAATTTATTTTTATTTTGCCATTTTAAAAAAAGGGGATGAGATGCATGTAAATAAGTAACACCTTTGGTCGAACATTGGGTTGTAACATCATACTTCTTCATCGACTTACTTGTATCTTCTTGATTCTGACTTTGAAATTATCTACAACTGGTACATAATCAGGGTTTATGTCTGCCCCCGGGAATCTTTTAACAGATGTACAACTGTTCCTATACCTCTTATTTACTAGCATGTAATCAATCTGAATGAGAAATGAAATCAAATGTAAGGTCTTGGGAAAAGCTGGCAACTATGTAGAGAGGATTGACTGTCCGCTCAGTAGACTTAGATGAAAGCATGATGTAGATAGTCTTTCTTTCTAAACAAAGATATCTAAGAATTAAATGGCACTGATGATAATCAAACTCCGAAAGGGAGACAGCAGGCAAAGGAGAAGAATCATTTGATTATCTTAGATATCAAAATTGACATCTAAGGTGATAGGTGACACATACAATTTTGACAAACAGTTAATGAATCATTGTTGCATTAATTTTTAAAATCTTCTGTGAATACATTAAGTCCTCATAACTCTTATTGGGATAACAGTATTTGAAAATCAATGCACGTTCCATAATATTTGTTATAATACTCCACCAAAAACCTACAGTAGTTTGCTTAAACAAAGGAGAGCGCAGTTGCTGCGTCTCACGCAAAGCTTAGTAAAAAATAGATATTTTAGATATTATTTATTAATTATACGATTACACGTCAGTCTAGAAGAAAGTATTTCTCTCACAACTCGTCAAAACTTTCCCGCAAAGTTTCGACAGAATTAATTTGTTTAATCACGTCTCTCTACGTCTTCGCCGCTCTAATCACATCGCTCATCTCTGTAAAAGTTATGTTTCCACAATGACGTCACGTGTTGCGGATAGGTCGATATGCTAAATAATTTTGGAACTTTGTAAAAGAGGTTGTTTTCTTTCTGGGATTATATTTTACAAGAGGATAATTCTTAAATCATGTTGAACTAAATTATGAACAGAATTTGTTTTTATGGTCAGATTTTTAAATATATAGAAATGAATATATCATAGACCAGTGACGAAGAATTTTAAAATTATTTGAAATTTGGGAAGATAAACAGATTACAATTGTTCGTCAGAAGTTTACTTAAACCTTGTCTACTTGATTAAAATTTCTAACTAGTAAAGGTCGTCGCAGTAAAGACTTAAGGTACTAAAGATTAACGATACTTGGCGAAAGCTTCATTTATTGTTCGATCTGTCAAAAATGTAATTATTTTACAGACTGCCCTTATTACCTTCTTTATAAACATCTTATTTCTTTTCATAATTCCGATTCAATTTTATCTCAAGGTCAATATCTTCATAAAGGTCACACAATTGCGACTGAAAACGTAAGAACGATAGCCCCCATTATTTCTTTAAACCAAGAATTATCTGAAAATACATATAGATTGAAAAACGAATTTTCACAATAATATAGATGACAGCGTCCAGTTGCCCTCTCCTAAAGAAAACATCGTTAGCTCTATCTACCTATCCAAATCACTCCGTCAGTAATCTTCGCGCCAACCCCCACCCAAACGCCACGTCATCATCGAAGGTATAAATGAACTGTGCGCCATCCCTATCCCTAGTACAGTGAGTAGTGAACATATCTGGAGGCTCAGAGTACTGAGACTTGGTATAACTCAACACAACTTAAGAATATTTAATTACACAATTTAACAATACCCTGCATAATCATATATATCTTAAAAAAAATTGTAATCGTTGGCATATGTTAAATATATTTGTCACATTTTACAGTAGAATATTACTATCACCATTTTCCAAAATCGTATTCACCATCTTTTGGCCTTTCTTTGTCATACACAGTTCATCAATGTACTTTTACTTCTAGACTGATATATGAAATAGGACTCATCTAGATTTAAGAAGGAAAAATTGCTACTTTTTGTACAGCCCAAGTTTCAACGGCACCTCCTTGTTCTGCCTCGAACTTAGAGGAACAGGAAAAGGATTAAAAGTTGCGTTAGGGGAACTCGGAGATCGATAAGGTGATTTAAGAGGCGATTTCAAAGGAGATAAAGGAGATAAAGGAGATTTTAAAGTTGAGCTAGAACATGGTACTACATCTACGTTAAATGATTTGGTAATTGGGTTAATATCACATATACTTGCATCCTCTAGGTATGTCTTTAACGATTTGCCTTCTTCATCAGTGGTGAGAAAACTATAACAAGTGGTAGAAGGTTTCTGCCCTATCGGACTCGTTAAAGATTCAGAGGATTGTCCGAAATTTTGCGATGCCAAAAAATTGTTATCAACTAGGTTTGCATCAAACCTATATTCGGAAAGGTTAAGCGGTTGATGAAGTTTATCTGGATCACTAGAACACCTACTGGCGGATAAAATACCTGAATCTGAATCTTCTGGAAAATTGTCAGATTTTTGTCTTTTAAAGTATGGTTTGAAGTCACTGTTATTATCATTTTCATGCTCATTAGAAATGTGTAAATAACTTTTAAAGTCTATTTCTAATGGCTTTGCTTCCAAAGGTGACAATTCTGGAAGTTTAAATGCATACCCTTCATTATTAGAAGAGGGATAATACGATTCCAGTTTTTCTTTTGAGTCTAAAATAATGCCAACGTTAGAAGCTTCTTTAGTAGTATAATCTGTATCACTTTCATCGGTTTTAAAATCAATAAAATTATATTTATCTTCAGGAGGAAAACTAAAATCTTCCTCATCGTTTTTTTGGCTAGTTTCTTCATCGTACTTTTTGTTTAAAGCTTGTTTGTTAGCGTTAAGCACAGAGCTAAGTTCTTCTCTCCAGTTGGACTTTTGTACTGAAGGAATATCTAAACCATCAAAGGTAAATACGCTTGGCTGATCAGTATTTGTCTCGTTCGTAGTTTCTTCATTGATAGTAAAAACTTCCGGTGATTTTAATTGTGTTATGGAATCGATTTTATTAGCATCCGTAGGAAAATTTGTACTTAGTTGCTCAAAAGTTTTGGATACCGGTTTATTCAATATTAACTCATGATATTTTTCGTCCAAACTTTTACTTTTTTCAAGTATACTCGTATACTTTGACCCATATTCAGGAGATTTTAATTCCTCCGTCTGACTTACCGGACTATTATATTCAGAATCGATCTGTTTTTGCATTGCATCGGTATCAAATGGCTTATCAACTCCCGTTACTGCAGTGCTTTCAATGAATGAATGGCTGTTATGTAAAGACGTCGCTAAGTCTTGCTCCATTGTCGTTTCTATTGTTTCCAAAAGCGGAGGCGAGGGCGACGATCTAGACTGACACTGTAATATCCTATGGAGTATCAGGGAGTTTTCCTGGATTATTTGTAGTGCTCTTTCGCTGTTTCGTCTCGCGTAATCCACTTTTTCTTCCGCTACGTCATTCACTTTAAGGCGATCGTTCAGGAATTGCTCGAAATCAAAACTTTCCTCGTCAGACTCAGATTTAAACATAATTAGGTTATCGTCAACAGCTAACGTGTCAGTCGGAATGGTGTTGGTTTTAGAAGGTGAACTGTGTGTTCCTACGTCTACAGTGGCACTTATATTGTCATTTTTCATAAGATTGGTATCACTATCAATAGGTAGATTATCGAATTGACCTTTTTCTTCTTCTTCATCGGAAGTATCTCCGCCTTCATCACACAGCTCTGTATCGCTCGAACTAGAGCTGGAGCTTGGTTTGGGGGCATCCTTCCAATGTAAAGTACTAGGCACTACTTGCCTAGCTGGAGGAATAGCACCTTTTGGCGGACCTATTCTCTTCGCAGGTATCAACGCACTTTTACCTAGTAACAAATGGTTCATGGTTACGGGAGGTGCAGCAGGAGGCTGCCTGGAAATAGCTGCACTGAATATAATATGTGCCTGTCTTTGCCTATGTTTTAACTTGGCATATTGCTGTTTTAGACCGCTGATATCTAAGGCAATACTCTGTTTCGGATACAACTTTAATTGTTTGTCCACAACTTGGGGTAGGTTGGTTCCCCACGGGTTTATATTGTACATATAGTGTTCCCTGAGTGTTGTTAGTTCTGTTAGGGTTCCGATAGCGACAACTGCCTTTATTAAGACGTTTCCATCTACGAGTTCGGATTCTAGTAGTTCCCTGGTTAGCACCCCCATCATACAATAGAATTCGTCGGCGCTTCTGACACTGAAGATTCTCTCGGCGAGGACCTGCCATATTGCCAAAGCTGTTCGCAATAGTACTTCGTTTCCTTCCAGAAGAATTAGGTCCCAGACTCGAAGGACTGTGGGTTGGGGCAAGCAATTACAAAAGAGTGTGAGGAACCTACAAATAATAAAGAAAAATATTAATTTTTTTAAAATATAGGAATTAATTTGGTAATATTTTATCAACAATTTATTTAATACAAAATTAAAATCAATTTTATGGAAACAGATAAACAAATACTTCCGTTCCCCATTATTTATTGGGTCGTACAGTGTCAAGTGCATTCTGACTTAATGAACGGGAAGGAATATTAACACAAATTAGCTAAAGTAATTAAGGAGATCGAATTATTCTATTAACAAGCTTAAACATAAAGATCAAGTCAAAGGTAACTCGTCTGGTATGTAGAGATTCAAGATTCAAGACAAAAATTTTACCAGAGTAAGAATAGAGACAAGATCTACGCAATTTAAAAGAACAGTAAATCAGAAATCTTTTTGAACTCTCTCTAAATTTTCAATACATCTGATAAGAGAAATTAAATGATAATTGAATTTTCAAGTTGGGATGGGACAAGAGAAAAATATAGACTTTTTAGAGATGCAATTCTACGAAAATTTCTAGTATGTTCCTTAATGAAACCAAGCTGTTTCATAGCATTGTTGCACATAATATCTATATGCAGATTGAAGGATAAATTTCTCTAAAAACACACCTAGATCTGTAACATTATTGACACTCTTAATCAAATTTTCACAATTCTATATTTTCTAATTATAACTAAATCTAGTATATTTAAATAGTCTCGAACAATATAAAATAATTTTATGTCATCTGCATTTGCTAAGATTTCACAGTCAGTCAAGAGTTTGATAGCATCATCAACAAAAACTGCAAAGAGAAGCAGTCCCAAATGGGTACCATCGGGTACTCCAGAGCTTGGAAAGTATTCAGTTGAAGTAAAGCCCTTCAGTTTGGTACACAAATATCATCTGTATATAACTTTTCAACCAGTAAAGAAGTCCGCCAGATACAACAAAAAATTCCAGTTTATCCATAAAACGCCCCGTCAAATGCTTTAGACAAGTCAGTATAATTGGAATCCACCTGAGGATTGTTTTCCAATGCATTTATAATGTAATCAGTGTAAACTAGTAGGTTGGTAGAAGTTGAACGACCAGGCAAGAAACCATGCTAACCAGTATAAAATTGATTCTTCAGTATAACTTCCAAAAAATCAGTCACTAAAGCCTCGAACATTTTAAAAATAGCAGAAAGAATTGTTATGGAACAACAATTAGAAATAAATGATTTATCACAAGATTTGTGAATGGCCTCAACAAAGGCTCTCTTAAATTGAGACAGAAAGTGATTCTCGGTCAGAGATTTTTTAAAAATAAGCCACAGAGGTTAGATATTCTTTAAAAAGTTAGATATTCTATGTGAACCAGGACTATTATTGGCATTAGGACTCTGCAAGCGTGCTAGAATGTCACAAACTTTAATAGTTGGGGAGTGAATAAGGCTGTGACTGATATTAAGTATATGACTCCACTTGTCCAGTTAGAAAATGAAGGATTATAGACATTGCTAAAGAAATTGGCAAAAGCATTTTCTAACATAGTGACCACGACTCACTAAAAATAGAATCATTCAACTTCATGCAACTTAGAATATCAAAATTATTTCTCTTACAATTAACCAAATTTCAAAAAGATTATATATGGCACTTTTTTGCTTAAATTAAGATTACAATTTACACAATTCATTATAATCGCCAACGCATCATGTTCTTTTATACTGAGCATGACAAGCGTTCTTTAAAGAGATAAGATGCTTCAGTTTTCTATGAAACCTTATAGGAAATATCTTATTTTTAGTTCATGATCAAAGGAACATGCTAGTTTATTCATATAAAATATTGAAACAAATTTCAACACATTTCTCGGAATTTAAACTTAAAAATAATTGATCCGTTTATTGATAAAAATATGTTGTTTAACCTTTCATAGTCTACATGTAGAAAATCATATAGTTTTTTTCATTCCTAGACACGTAACTGGAGCATCCAGAAAAATACTAATAGTAAGTGCAGGATGATAAGGATCACAAGGAACCAGAATATCTTCTGCAGCCTTAACACTTTATACAAAGCAGTTATTGAATACTAAATCTAACATTTCATTATAATTATTCAGTATTTTGTTTAACTGATAGAAATTAGAAAGACATCACCAATATCATCGACTGATAGCCCTCCTTCAACAGTGACCAAGCCATCGATCTCGTTAGTCCAGGAAATTCCAGAAAGAATATAGTCACCAACACTTCTTCCTCTTCTTCTTCTTTTCCTTCTTCTTCCCCTTTTTAAACAATTCTGCTTGTTCACTGGATGATTAATACCTCTATAGAAGGTTGTCACTCCATCTATTGCGCGGTCGTCCGATACTTCTTCTGCCGATCGGTGACTTATCTCTTGCTATTTTGACGACAAGACTCTTCTTCATTCTGCTTATGTGGTTATTCCATTCTTTTTTTATTTTGTGTTCATTCATTTATACACTGTACGTTACATTTTCCTCTATGTTTTTACTTCTCTTCCGATCTCTCAGCGTATTTCCTGTAATTCTTCTCAGTACTCTGATCTCTGCCGTTTCCAGTAGCCTTTGCGTGGTGGCTGTATTAGGCCTTGTTTCTGAGGCATATGTCAGTATAGGTCTTACACTGGTTTTATAAATTCTTGACTTCATCTCAGTGTTAATGTATCTGTTTCGCCATATAGTGTTATTAAGGCATCTTGCCAGTCTATTTGCTTTGTGTACTTGATCTCTCACTTCCTTCTCCAGGTTTCCATAGCTAGATGGTGTAATTCCCAGGTATTTTATTTTCATTACTTATTCAATACTGATGTCATCAATTTCTATTTTACATCTGGTTGGTATTTTGCTGACTACTATTGTTTTAGTTTTCTGAGATGAGATTGTCAAATTAAATTCTTTTGCCCTTATGTTAAATTTGTGAACAAGTCTTTGTAGACTATCTTCATCTTGGGCTATCAATATTGCGACGTCTGCGTAACAGAGTATTTTTATTTCTTTGTTTCCCATTCTGAATCCTCTTCCTTTGTTGACGCTTTTGATGATTTCATCCATGATAAAATTAAAGATAATTGGGCTTAATGACCAACACAGTATATAATATTGCCAGAAAACATATTACATACGTATTATAAATTTAAGCGATGAGCTTCATATACTTCAGACCTTAAACTGGGTGAAATATAAACACTGCCAAATACAACATTCATTTTGTATAATTACAAATAGTTGTTTACAATAAATATCGCCATCAGGAATGTTAATTTGTGGTGAGAAAAATAAGTTTCTCACAGCAATAATAATGCCACTACCACGTATTTTGTCAGTAGCAATAGAATATCTGTCTTTACATGGAATAATCATTTTAGCCAAGTTCAGCATCAACAATGTCTTCACCAATAACGTCTCGAAGAAGTATTATTGCACAATATATCCAATTTGTCCCTTAAATTTTGGTAATATACAGAGAACTGCTTATAAGATTTCATAAAACAATTCTGTTTGTTATTTTCTACAGATTTCTTATGGCTTTTAAATCGATGTGAAGGATGTGAATAAAGCTAACTGTAACCACGCCTGCTGTGGAACCCTGTGTCATGTTGCTTGCAACATGTAGAAACGGATATTTCATTGCGACTTTCATTACTACATCTTATTATTTTGGTACTCTGTGTCAGTGTCGCTTTTGCTTCGGATATTTTCGAGATCTTATTGTTCACTCCAAAAACATTCATTGTTATTTGTGTTTCTAATATTGGCAATAGTTAAGGTAGATATACAGATTCAAGATTCTCTCTGTAAAAGTGTATTGTTATTGGCTACACGTTTTTAATTAAAAAATTATATCCAATGGCAATGCAAAATTTTTAATTTTAGACTTTATAATTTTAGTGACATTTTTGTCTTGGTATTACTAAGTATTTTGCAATTTAATTTATTTTAAAAGTAATTTATTTAGTAGGTAAGGTATACTGAGTGATAATGTTGCCTGTGAACAGTATGAACGTATTAGCTTTTGAGGATGAGGAGAGGTTAAGAGTATTAAGAAACTTTAACATTAATAGGCGTTTACTTAGATATTAAAGTGATCCTTTCAATGAACTAACAGATTTTCAGTTTAAAGGATTGTATCGTTTAACCAAAGATATAGCAAGAGATATATTAAATGGAATCATGCAAAATATGGTCATCGATAATAATGTTGTGGCAGTTCCAGTTGCAATAAAGTTTTTTGATACCCTCCAATTTCTTGCTACTGGTAGCTACCAAAACACTATAGGGCAAAATTTACAATTAGTGTCTCAACAAATAATGTCTAGGGCAATAATTTTGAAATAATTGAAGACATTATTGAGACATTTGCAAATAAAATCAAATTTCCTAACTCCATTAAAGTGAAAAATACCAAAAAAATAAGATTATACTACGTTATACGGTTTATACAATATACGACACGATGTTTACATATAAATAAACCGCTAACTCTAACCTAAATTTTGAACGCTTTTACCGATTAGTTGTATCTCTTTCTAACCAATGCGTCCAATTATCAAGCGACGTGTGTCTCTCTCTAAAACAACACGTCTGAAGGTGTTGAGTGGAAGCGAGGCCACAGCTACAAATAAGTTGATACAAAACGACAATTGACACCTTGAAATGGAAGACAGAGTACGACACGTATCGTTTTTTGGCGACTATTGATATCAACATAACACAGGGTTTACCTACTGGTTAGTACGGAGAATTCAGCATAGCCTCACAGCTGCTCTCAAAGTTGCTTTACCAGAACATCATGGGCCTTCAGATTATTTTTCTTAACTATGCTTTGACATCCTCCGAGATAACACCTGGAGAAACATTATTACATAAAAATCTCATCCTTTCTACTCCTCTAAAATCAGTATTGGAATCGGAACCACCCATATTCGCATGTCCATTATTTAATCTAAATAACTTATTTGTGAAGCTGAAATTACTATTTACTTTGTATACTCTTTTTATATACCTAGTTAAATAACGTGAACCAATGACCCTCAGAGAGCAGATCTTATGACAAAATATTTTGTTTTTAAAATGCTCTTGATAGAATCAACTCAAATAAATAGAAAGACGTGCTTTTAGATGTTTTTACTCAACAATTCTTGCTTTTAACCTTTTGTTTGTCTGTAAACGACTTTTCCAGTTGTTTGTATTATGTCGATTAAAAAGTGGCCCGATGGATTTCAGAACGAAATTGCGAATCCTGAACTTTATCCCTTTTATTCGGACCTAATCGTTAATCCACTCATGTGTGGGGACATTGCGACTTTATAATCTTCGTTTGTGTTTAATTAATGTAACATTTAGCTAACGAGCATCAGAGAATAGGCAATTTCACATTTGGTTAAATTTGAATTCATTTTTAATACATAATTTGCCTTTCCAGTCTAATACAATAATACTTTAAAATATTAATATTTTAATAAATTCGTTACACCAGAAATAACTACAAACAAGGTTAAATATACATACGGAGAAAGTTAAAAAATACTTAAAAAACTGAAGAATAGAATGGACAGCTAGCGAACTGATGAACCAATGAAAAACAACCAGAAATCTTTAGAGGTATAAACTTGTTAATTAATATCCTGAAACTTATAACTAAAATGCTGCAAGAATGGATAAATCACAAATCAGGATAAGTTTGGCAACTGAACAAGTTTTTCGTACTGGAAGATTTATAGATGCAGTATTCGCCATAAAGCATGTGTGATCGCTTTAAAAAAGACATTCAGAAGCGAAAAGTAGGGATCAAAGATGTATTTTCTTTTTTTGTATTATAGAGAAGTTTCCTTAGATATCAAAAAACTATTGAAAACATCTACCAAAACAACAATATGGATGTCAAAATAGATGGAAAACTTATGGAATATATATATACATAAGCAACAAAATACGATAAGGGGCTCATTGATATGCTCTTCAATTTAATGTTGGATGAAGTTATACAAAGGGTCAACAAAGGAAGAGGATTAAGATTAAGAAACAAAGAAGTGGAAACAATATTATAGCCCATAGTATACAAAGACTAGTCCACAGATTCACCACAAGAGCAGAAGAATTTAATATGATGATCTCAACTCGAAAACCAAAAAAAAAATGGCAATCAACTAGATGTAAATTAAAAAATGAATTGCGTCAGCATGGAACAAGTAAAGGAAGTGAAATACCTTGGGATTGAGCTATGAGCTATACTGACCCGGACAAAGAAGTAGGAGATCAAGTATAAAAAGCAAATCGATTTTCAATAATAGCACTATATCGCGAAACCGACATATGAATCAGAAAGAAGACCCAACTCAATCACAACATAAATGCTGTTAAAAAGAAGAAGATAAGAATACTGAGAAGAATTACATATGTTAAAAGTCTGTCAACGTTCACACTATGACGTGACATGCTTCGTCTGTTAAGAATTCATCAGGTAGTGCTCGAAGACAAACTGGAAGAGAGTGGGAAAAATGACATAGAGGTGTAGGAGGCAAAATGGCATAGTATGCCATTTTACCCGATCGTACATAGATAAAAATAATGTGCCTTATAAATGGATAACATTTCTGTTTTTTTACATATTATGCTGCGAAATTATGGTAAAGGCAATAGAAGTTATTAATAAGGGTGAAATGGGGTGGCTCAAGGCATCAAATCTTTTCAACTCAAGCAACTCTAAAACGAAAAAATTAAAAATTTAAAAACAGGCGAAAAATGACTAGGCAGGTTTAAACTTACTTTTCCCATAGACATAGAAAGACAATTGGTTGAGCATTTAAAAATGCTAGAGTCAAGATTTTTTGGACTAATGAGACGGGACATCTTAGAGTAAGCCTATACTTTAGCAGCCAAAAATGGGTTTTAACATCAGTTTAATAACCAAAAAAGAGCCGCTAGAAAAGATTGGTTTAGAGAATTTCGCAGAATAATTTCAGATATAACAGTGGGTAAATTTAAAGCCAAATCTGCAGCAAACACACAGGCTTTTAATAAATCTCAAGTAGCTAAGTTTTTTAGAGTGTTAGAGGAGAATCTGCATTATCTACTGTACAACGCCCGCAAAAAGTGTTTGCTACAGCCGGTCCCAAACAAGTAGATGCAATTACCAGCACCAAACAAGGTTCCCACATGACAGTTGCTTGTTGTATGTGCACTAACGGGAGCTATATTCCATCTACTCTGTGTCCAGTGTTTTTACAATGATTGCAGCATTTCCAAAAATATGCCAAGGCATCTTCCACTGAGGAGGTTTTGTTAATTGTGAATGGACATTCAAGTCATAAATATCTTAACGCTCTTCTGTACGCCAAAGAAAATGGGAGTGTACTTTTATGTTTGCCGGCTCACTGTACACATCTGATGCAACCTCTCGATGTAGGATTCTTTGGTCTCAAAACTTATTATGACCAAATGCCTCAAAACTCATCCTGGTCGGGTTGTGACTCAGTTCCAAATTGGTGGTCTGTTAAATGAAGCCTATGGAAAAGTAGCTAATGTCCAGAATACTGCTCATGGATTTTCCAAAACTGGTATCTACCCAATAAACCCCGATGTATTCCTCGACTACATGTTTCAAGCATCTGAAACTACAAATATTGTAGTAGATAGTGCTATAAACGTTTAGGATAATAATGAAGAACTTGGCCCTTCCTCATCTACCATAGATTTCGCTAATGTGATGACAGCTCAATCAAACTTGGACAATCCAGCAAGTGGCATTTTACTACTGGTTACTCCGGCAGATTTAAGTCCAGTTCCAGTCGGACCATTTGTTTCCGGCCAGGGAAAAAAAAGCAAGGAAACGTTAAGGTACTTCTATTCTTAAATCAACTCCAAATTTAGAGGTGACAAAAGAAAAAAGCAAACCGAAACCAGAGATCCCTCCAAAAATAAAAAGACCGACAAAAAAGAATGTTTTGATAAATTCTGCCTAATTCTAATGTCTTTCTGCTAATGAAGAAAATGATGATGCTGCTTGCATTTACTGTACAGAACTATATAAATTGTCTAAAAAAGGTGAGATACAAATTGTCTAAAAAAGGTGAGCTATGGTTATGCTGTTGTTCGTGTCAAAAGTGAGTACATGCTGAGTTTGCCGGACTAGACAAGAAAACAAAAATGTTTGTTTGCAAGCTTTGTACCGAATGAAGAATGTCAATCGATACTAATGTGTCATTTTGCTCGCCAGGTGGGGTAAAATTAACTTTTATTGTTCATTTTTAAACATTTGGCTAAAAGTTTATATTTTCTCCTACTTTGTTAAAAGCTTGTCTAAAGTGTTTCAAATACTTTAGTTTGTATTCTATCCAAGTTTTGTTTAAAAAATGTTTGCTTTAAGTAAAATTTTCGGTTTTTTAAAAATGTATGCCATTTTGTACATCCTTTCCCTACGCTATATACTTCCATGATACTGATTATATAGAACATAACCATTCAATAGATGTAGCTTAAAAAATATGGCTGCTACCAACTGCCAACATTCGCTAAATGATTTTACATTATTAATTTATTCATTTATTGCGTTCCGACTTAAAATACTTCTTGTTTTGTTGTTTATTTGGAGGTGTTTGGCGTGTTGAGTCGATTAGTTAAGAGCTTATAATATCGATAACGCGAAGTCAATCAACTGATAACTGTGCAGAGCTTTATGGTTGCAAAAATCAATTTGTTGTCTAGACGGCCTTGCAACTTAAATGGAAAAAACTTTGATTGAAAGCGCGTATCGGAAAACGTCGAGATTTTGTAGATTATCTAAATTATCCATCATATGTCATGTGTTTATTGATTTGTGATAAAAGTAGATAAAACAGAATTTTCTTTGTAGTTTAATATTTTTACATAAATATAGATAAATATGCATTTATACAATCTAACATTACGTAGTTGATACCTATAACTTATTCTCTACAAATTATGAAAATATATTTTCTTCTATTTGTCTTTCGTTTGCCTTTGTCACATGGATATCTAATTTTCTTATTGTCATCGCCTCGCATCACTTACAGCCACCTCTTGATCTACTTTTTTTATTGGTTTCTTAGCTTAAGTGAGCTGATAGCCACATCTACTCTGCACATGTTTGCAAAACATATTTTATACCAATAGTTCTGAAGACCTGTTCCTCCACATTTCAAGATTTAATTGACTACCTAACCATCCCAGAAGAAGCATCTGCACACATCCTAACCTAGTTCATATAGTACCAACAGCTAAAATTTTGTGTTAAACTGTAGAAATTTCATAATATTTTAAAATCTGGATTTTATTTTGGTCCATATAAACTGGTCCATTTAGCGGACACTAAATTCGAGGCACTAAAATTTCTTCACCTGCTCCACTAAAATATCAGTATTTTTGAGAAATTTGAATCTGAATAAATTAATAAAATTTATTCGGAAAAAACTATTTTCACATTAGTTTTTACTAGAGTTTATACTAATAAAAAAACCACATTTTTTAACATAAAAATTAGAGTCTGTTTATTGGTCCTATACACTGTATACACTTTAAATCCATTGTCGACTCTAAAGACCACATTAGAATGTAATAAGGTAGATTTGAAGAAAAATTCTATCACGTTAAGACAATTAATGAAGCCAATTTGGTTATTAACTAAAAGACTTACCATTGCATGGTAAACACATTCGTGAGAGGCGGTTCGTAGCTGCGGCTTCCGTCCTTAGCAGCGTTTTGAAGATTGTCTAAATGTTTGGATAGTCGTGGAAATCGCGTCCTTAACAGTTCTCTAAATACCGCCATATCCACTGATAAACCTCTCAAACTGTCCGCGAAATAGGAGTCCGGAAGCACTCCTTCTATGAGATATATCATCAATTTTAAGGCATCACTCTCACATTTATCGGTAACTTGGAGGATCAGAGCTGCTAACATGTTGAAACCTTGGCAGTAACCTGAAATTAAAGAAAAGAAAGATATATAGAGATGTTTATGTTAACTTAATATTTTTTTTGATTAAGTTGGGTTAGAATTTTCGATTAATTTTCTGTTTCTTAAGTATACTTCATTTTTTAATGGTTGACAGCACGCTGAATGGTCAGAGGTTATAAACCAGTTGTAAAACAGAAACGTACGTGCTCAATTCACAGAAGGAGTTTATTTACTATGATATAAATACCCACTTTATCTGAAATATAGATAACACAATTTTACGTATATATCGATTGAGTATAAGGGGCTGATAGATGGCTTGTGGTTTGTCGAGCCAGATCAAGTTTCGTGCTACCTTAATCTGGCCCGTGATGGTCAATTATTGTCGAAAGCAACTATAAAGCATTTATCATCCGATAACCCCTATAATGCTACGAAAATTTTTGGACTTTTCATAATCACAATTTTCACAAATATCTACTACAATATACCTAAATAAAAATTTGAAGAAGTACGTCTAGTTTCCTTTGTGCCGTTAATGCTTCATAACTGTGTTGTGAAAAATGTCAGCATTTATCCCAGTAAAGTGTAATGATGTGCTTAATTTATAATGACTGTAGTGTTAAATGTGCGCGATGCTAAAGTATGCTTTTAGTGTACATCAAATGCCGCTTGTACCCCAGGAAATGAAGCATTTAAAAGTCGAAAAATTACTGGTGGTGATTTTTTAACTGGATTACAAGTATACTATACAGATTACAAATCAGTAATTTCCAAAAGTACTTTATTCATGCCTTGTTCTTTTCCAAACAGATTTAAGTCGGCTATTGAGTGTTTGCGCATGCGCGATCACAGCTGTCAGCATATATTTGCTGTAAGTTTTTGGTTATGTTGACTGTTTGAGGTGAAACAAGTGAGTAATCGAAAACCTGTGTTATAAGTATAAAATGAGTTTAGATTTATAACAAGTGATTTTTCAGTATCTATAAACGACATTAGTAGTGCCAAGAAGAGGAAGCGAGAGAAAAATGAAGACCTGTGGACAAAATCTCAAAAAATTCGCAATAAATAGTAAACAAGTTCCTCCTCGCATTCTTTGTTCTCATAAAGATGATGTTTGTAATGCATATATATTGACTCCTAATGATGTAAGTAGCATTTATAATAAAATCTACTCACATAAAACTGCTGCTGATCAGAACAACTTCGTATTCAAATACCTTCTCAATCAAGAGTCTAAGCAACATAGGCCTGGAAATAAAACAAATCCACGATCTCAAACAGTTAAAAAATACTTCATACGACAGACAAATGGTGTTGTTGTAATGGTGGGTAAGATTGAATCGATTAGCTAAAAGAGTCAGGAGAATGTTCTCGTGAAAAGAGAAACTGGTGAAGTTAGTAAACTAAAAGAAAAGGTTGCGGAGGGCGCATGGTGATGGAAATGTCTTTCAAGCTCATGAAAACTGAAAACGGGACTTTAAATCGGACCGCGCTCGAATAACTGCAATATCTCGGGTTTTTATTTTTTATTACTTGAGCTAGCTCATCTTAATAATAAGTTTTAACATATTTTCACCCCAATTAAACCACCACCAAACCCTAAAAATTTAGAGTTTAATCATTTAGAAGTAAATACTTTTTTTTTTCGGTCGGTATGATGTTTTTGCATTAAACATATTATGTTAACCGTGACGCGAAATATCGAGACGCCTGCAATAACCTTGCGATATATGGTTAAATACCAATTTACTTACCGTTGCACATCATTCGCGTCATAGTTTGTGAGGTCACATGGTACCAACACGAAATATTTAGGTGGTAGGTGTATTCTTTTTTAGAATTACTTTGCCGAGTACATTGGCATTACAGCCACTAGACATATTTCATTATATACGCGTAGAAATAAAGTTAATGCCTCGACAACTATGATCATTGGCTTGGTACAGTCAGGTACCTAGTGTAGTGTGTGTATGTGTAGAGTAATTGTCTTGATACTTAGCAAAGTCGACGTCATTGTCTTTGCTAAGAGACGCTAATTGTATCCGAACGTCTGCGGTCCCTCCGGCGAGTACCGATCGCACATGGATTTCATTTAATTTGTATAAATGCATTATAAACCGTTTTGCATTGCGTGGACTGTATATACAGACTATACCTACGTCGCGCCCAAATCTCATTAAAAATTCGTTAAAAACATGTATATGCTATCTATATATGTACTATATAAAAAATGTCTATATAATAGACTAAATTTCAAAATATTGTCGCTGCGAATACTAAATAGGTACCCATGCAACTAGTGGCCAGTGGGTGAAGACGGATAATAAATTTTTTAACGGAACTGCACTAGCTATTTTTCTGAACTATCACTAGCGACAGGTTGACATCACGTTGCCATGGCAACCGTGAACGCTTATGAAGATGAGTTTCGCATTTCAAAAATGATATTCACCTATTCCTGAATCATACACAGCAAGTGACACATACTTGACCGACAAGTACTTACCGCACCGCTAATAAAGCTAGCTGTCTTTTTTAATTTTCAGATTAATTAAAAGAGAATAAATAATTTATTTCGTTGCTTTTACTTTTTATTTATTTGTCTCAATTTAATTATATTTTTTTGGTGAACCCCACCTTCACCTACTTCACTTGGCCGGCCGTCGCTGGTGGGCCTATCAAAAAACGAAAAATTATTATTGCAGGAATTATTTGCAAAACTTCTTAGTTTGTTTAATTAACAAAATATGTGTATACTGTGTTATACGAAATTGTCATAAATAATACAACTGATATAATTTCCGGCTTACAACCAGCCTCTTCTAATTGTTTTTGGGGATTTTGTTTTCTTTCCAATTAAGTGGCTTTAAACGAGTTTCTGCTACTATCTCGTGTATAGTTAAGCCTTTCGTATTTTCCGCCTGATCAAACGTTTTCGGAAATTGCCTTTGTTAAATAGAATTTTATTTCTGATCTGCGCTTGGGACACTACTATTTAAGTTTTGAAATTGATAAAGTTTGTTTAGCAGTAAATGGTTGACGTCAATTAGTACCGAATATAAACATCCTGGTTTAACTGATAATAGTATAAAAGGCCCGGTTTTAGGTAACAATGGTTTACCTGAGGTACCAGGTCTTAACAATGGGCCAATTCAGATAAATTTAATAATATTTACGACCGCACTAATTGAAGTCATACATTTTCTGCTAAACAAACTTTACCACTCGGCATCAAATCGATCAATATTATGAAGCTTGAAGTTTTAATGAAATACGTGCTAAGGATGCTTTGTCATATAAATAATATTTGCATACGCATCGTTATTAGCGACCTATCACCTTTTAGTTTTAACAATTTGTAAAATAGCGAATCTAAACGAAATGACAGTATAATATCGGAGAGGATCACAAAAATGAAATGGTGGATGTTAAAAGATGAAAAAAAGGTTCCACTCTTAAAATTTTAATATCAACTAAACAAAATTTAAATATTAGCGCCGATTTAAATATGTCATTTACTGGAAGTTAGAGTTGATACAATGTAAACTGTAAATTATATTAACTTTCGGAACAAAATAAAGTTAGTCTTAACTGTATACTCAGCTGGTTCGTTTCATTTAAAAGTTTTAACAGGTTAGGGTCCAAGACGTTTTCCGTCGTTAATTAGATAAACGTTGTATACTATAACAAAATTCATTAAGCGATGCAGGGAGATGTAAACATTAAATCGTGTCCGAACCTGTATGAGCTGCCGACAACGTCGGCAGACGAAATAAAGATGGACATTTCGGTTAGTTTTTAAATATTTTTGAAGAACTGTTACTTGCATTTATACATAAAATATTCATTAATTTTATAAATCGGATTATTTTTTCGGGCCCGCGTAGCGCAAGCGGTAGTGTGCTTGCCTCGCATGCCGGTGGTCGTGAGTTCGAATCCTACCGCCGGCAAGAACAACTAGGCATTTTTAAAATGTCTATAGGCCCCAGGTCGACTCAGCCTGAATAAAATGAGTACCTTGGGTAAAACCAGGGGTAATAATAGGCGGTTGAAGCGTAGCACTGGCCATGTTACCTTCCTTGTATACCGTAGGCCCTAGATATAGCAGACTACCCTGCTATACTCACAAAGCCGCGTGCGGTATAAAACGGGAGACTATTATTATATTATTTTTTCACTTACTATGTATTCAGTGATAACAATAATTTATTTACTAGATATGCAATAAACACTAATATTTGAGAAAAGAAAAAAAATAATAAAGTGTCATAATTATAACTTATCGGAACGAGTAGACTGATTTGGAACATCGTGTCAAAGTTGTTAGGCCGCGAAAATAATGATAATTGGGCTTTGGCAGTTGCAAAATTATCTTGTTCTAGAAGGTTTATCCACGTGTTTAGACGTAACTGTAACCGAAGTAGACAAACAAGAAAATGCTAAAGCCAAGTTTGTTCTTTTGCTTGATCTGTCGTTATATTTACATATAAAAGTAGCAGAAACCAAAAAAGAAATTTGGGATGCTTTAAGAAAGTTGTTTGATTCAGGGTACGCGAGAAAAATCAGTTTATTTCAAGTCCAATTTCAACACAATTGGAAGATTGCAGTTCGATGACAAGTTATATAAACCAAATAATTGAAAAAGGACAAACATTACATCGGGCTTACCTTACTGTTTTTCACCAAAGATAATGGCGATCGAACATTCGGGATTAGTGATTTCTACCGATTCCTACAGATGTAGTGCGTTTGCAAGTGGAATTTGCGGTAGTAGTAACAGAACTAGAACCAATCACAACAGACGGTTTGAAAATGGCATCAATCGCAGAAGGAGTGATGCCAGCGTAAATGACAAGAGAGACAGAGATCTGTTAAAAATCAGATGTTATCATTGTAAACAAACAGCATACCATAAAAATAAATGTACGAAGTTAAAAACATCCGAAAAACATACGTTTCTCAATGAAGCATTAAAAAAAAACTAAGTAGTATGTGGACTCGAGAGCAAGTGTTCATTTAA